TAAGGCACTTAAGTGTATTCAACTGATAAATAAGTTAGTTTACCTTATGGCTGTTGATTAGCCTGCGTGGTAATATAACATGATCCTGCCGTTTTCTCACCGGCGTTTTCTGTAGAAATTAACATTTTGTATTATCCGTCATGCGTTATTAATGTAGCAGCTGATGAGCTGTCGCAAACTGTTTTGGCCCCAATAAATCCTGCAGTAGTTGCATGCCTTATATTAGTACCACGAAAATATTGCTTCAATGTTGCATATACAGTTGATTATTTATTTATTTTTAGCTGCAGAAGACTAATACACGGATTCACAAAGCCAACCTTAAAAAGGCGCTTGAAAGGAAGATGTCGGTAGAAACCGGACTTCCAAATCTTCGTTTGCTTAAGGCTTCTTCATTTAGTTTCTTCCATCGATGGCCGAATAAAAGATTTTCTTGGCCTATCACTTATTTTAATGCCTACAAACCTAAACGGAGGTTCTTTTATACGTAAACCTTTCCAAGACCTGTCACTGGGCTCACGAATTCACGTATACGTGTGGCTTTGCTGACAGTGTTTAGAAATGCCATAAAAATGAAGACCTGGAAAGTAAAAATAACAACCATATTAGAGTTGACTCAATTGTGAAAAAACTCGAGGGGTTCTGCGGAATTTGAAACCGCGTATTAGAGAAGCTCTTTACCGGAAGCCAACGCTCCAACCACCTGAGCTACAAATGCCCGGTGGTTTGTCACGCGTGCGCATGACTCCTTTTCAGGTGGCTGGCCTTGCATCGCATCCTTGACCTGGTTTGCTTCCTTTTTTCTCTTGACCTCAGGATGTCCCGAGTTATGACTCGCGTGCTGGGCCATCCTAACAATTATTACTTTTGATCGATTGCTGTATCTTTATGCATCTGCCAGCAGGACTCCATTAATGTCCAGTGTATGCCTATGGTCCTTGACGTAGATTAAGAACAGTAATGGTCAAAGAACGGAGCCGTGGTATACACCGCTACTAAACGATACTGAAGCAAATTTCGCGTTGACGACTCTCACGGACTGCGATCGGCCTATCAGGAAATCTCCCATCCAACTAGTAGATTGCCCCTAATTTCAGATTCTCGGCACTTGTAGAGTAGCCGTTGGTGTGGGACTCTACCAAAGGCCCTTAAAGTCAATGTAGACGTCATGGACGTTGGTATTCTCATCATATGACCTCGACTACTGCTTCATTGAATAAAACATATTGGTCAGACAGGAGTGCTTTCCTCGAACTCAGTAATAGGCACTATCAGAAAAGGCTTTTTCTCCGAGAAACGGAAGTCAGTTTGTAGACAGGACGAATGTAATGTATGTAAAACAGAAGGTTGCCTGTAGGCAGGATGTCATGTAGGCAAAACGGAGGACTGTCTGTAGGCAGGACGTGTATGGAGAACGAGAACACAGTTCAAGTGACGAGTCATGTTAACAAACAGGGATTTATGGCGGGGGTTGAACGGTATTGGCTGAAAGATAGCCAGTCAGAATAAAGAAGGGATAACGCGCTCCCGCGACCTTAGTCGCCTTGCGCGAACTGCGGCAGGTTGTCATAAACACACTTGCGGACACACACAACAGTAGCCTTTTTGATAATCCTTTCCATAAGGTCGCAACAAATGCAACTTAGACTCCCCAGTCGATAGATGTTCGTGCTGGATCTGAATTCACCATTTGGAATAGGGTGCATGTTCTCAATTTTCCAGTCAAATGCGAGGATGCCTAGACCAAAAGACAACTGGAAAATATACAATAGCGGTCTGGAGAGTTCAGAACCGATCTCTTGCAGTACTTTTTTCGATATTTGGTCTGGAATTGGAGACTAAACTTCGCTAAGCGCAAGAAGTTCTTTGCTCACATCTTGTTCTGTGAATTTGAGGTCTTCCATGACTGTGTCGTTCCTCCCTGTATGAACGTCTGCCTGTTTCAAATCTGGTTCCTCCGTGCAAAGGGAGGCGATAAAGCAAATAAGGTGTTCTGCCTTATCGCGATTTTCAGTAATTTAGTCGTTGCTTCCACCTTTTAACATCGCCACTCCTCCTTCATTTGTTAAACTGCTGTTGATGTAGCTAGTGTACTTTTGGGTTATATGCTGTCCGTTCTGTAATTCTCGCCTCATACTCCCGCAATTTGCAAACTTTTGTCCTTAGCTCGTTCCACTTTTGGCGAAATTCTTCGTAATTTAAAGGTTGACCATTTTTTATGCCTATTCCGAAGTTTGTTCTTTCGGTTTATCTGGCTCTTCATATTTTGCGTTAACCAAGTAGGCCATTTCACCTTCTTTATTTTTAAGGGACATTTGCGAGGCAAAAAGTCATTTAGACCTCCCTTGAAAATGCTACAATCGGTATCCGGACCACCATTCAGAATGACGTGTCAATTTAGTATCGATAGTTCACTTATCATCGCGGGGAAATTATCGTGCCAATAATTAGGCCGAACATCAGTATTTGCCGTTTGCTTGGTCTTTAAACCATATTCCCACAGAAGTATGATATGGTCGCTCTTATCAAGCTGTGCGATCGACCTGAGTTAATCTACGCCAATTTGCAAGCACGGGGTCTAGACAGTTCGCTGATTGTGCCTCTTTGATTCTTGTTGGAAATCCAACATTGTGTACGAGACATACATTCACCGTTAGATTTAATGGTCTGGAGCTAAAGGAATCACGCAAAACTTTTATGGATTACTTATCCCATTCGATCAGTGGTGCGTTAAAATCTCTAGTGCGTCTTCGTTTTAGGCCATTTCTTTTAATTAATCCAACTATGATCTTATCAACATCTGAAGTTTGATTGGACAGTTTATAAACAATCAGGAAATTTAAAGTGCATGCACCCAGCGTCTTCTGTTTTATCCAGTATGCCTCAGTACTTTTTGTGCATAACAGACTTCGAGCCCGTTTAGCGGGAGGCACCAAGTCAGGAAAATCACTCATTTCAAGTATGACTAATGTTTATAAAATAATCTTATTCAGGTCATGACGTACGAAGATAGCCTAGGGCCGGGGTCAGCAACCCATAGCTCTTTTGATGATGGCGTAGGGCTCTTTCAGAAACTTCAGATTTTTGGATTTTGGTTAAGTTGTGGTCCAAGCAGTCGGTCGTACTCGGATCACTACAATCATCAGGCCGAATCCCAGGTTGGAAGTTAAAAGACACAAGTCACCAGAAGGAGTCATTTATTATCTACAGAGCTCCCAGTTACTGTCTTAGACGGCAGCGGTTACCGACGAAGCCAGGGCTAGTGTTGATTGCGCCCAGCCAGACTTAAGAGAGCTTGAGACAGTGGTGACAGCTGATTCAGTAGGATTGCGGAACAGGTTCACTTGTTCTGTTATTGGTGTCTTGCAATTGCCCGAGGGTATGTCGCCTGGAGAGATCTTTGCTGCATCGGCCGAGGGGTGTGGTATTCAAATGGCCCTTAGGTGTTTGGACGCCCGTGTATGCTCGAGTGTGTGTGCGTGACTGAATAAACCGTGGTCACCAGGGCGGCGGTCTCGGGGCCGCCAGAAAACTGAAGGAAAGGGGACGCTCGCGCAGCTGTTACCGGTTTCCCAGACGCAGCTGCGATGTCAAGCCTCGGAGGACGGGGGTGTCAGTGCAAGGGAGCATTGAAGCAGTTGTTTGTGGCAACACATGACTTTGGGACAGCGGGTCTTGGAGAACGAA